ATGCAACCTAAAGAAAGGGTGTTGGTGTGGGTGTAGGTGTGAGGAAGATAATAATATCCACACCCACACCTCACAATCACACGCACACCCGCCCACACCCACATCCACACTCAGCCACACCCCACGCCCACACACCCACACACCCACCCCACACCCAAAATAGCCTTCTTTTGACCAACAAATAAATGTCGCAAGTTTTTGTTACCAGCTATTCTGTGACATAATGGTTATTGACCATCCCTAGTCTGTTTCAGAGTCAAAACTCGAACTCTATCTCTACCTTTGACTTGCATTCTAAATAACTTGGGCAGAAAAACACACATACATTTTCTCTTGTAATAATCTTTTTTCAGAAAAAAAGAATAATGATGATAATAATATTAATGCAAAAAAGGGAGAGAAGAGAAGAAGAAAAATCAATAATCAATGATCAAAGATATTAATAAAATAACAGCGAAGATCAGAAGGAAAACATCAAAGAAAATGAGAAACGCCAAAGATAGTTTGTGAGAAAGCTAATGTCAATGAGTGACATCTATTAACCTTACTACGTCCTAATAAGCTTAACTTTTTCCGTTCGACGCACAATGAAGTGATGGAAGGAGAGAACGAAATGGTAGTTGGAAAGTTCCAAGTTAGTCTTACAATGGAACATAAAATAAATATATGTCGTTTATTGAATTATACTGAGTTATATACCTCATATAAGAATGAATTCTTTTTCGTGCCTCTGTCTTGGTGAACCCTTTTCCAATTGCTGCTGTTGTCGAAAGGAGCCACCATCTGACCAGCATGAACACTATGATTTCCAACACATTCTACAAATACCCGTTGACAATAACAACGCATCTGCCGTTCCAAGTGCCGCTAAACATTCTTGCTGTAACGTATCATTAACGTGCGATGATACAGTTACTCTCATTGTGTTAGATGAAATTGTCGATTCAACATTATCTACAATTACAAATGACTTCCGACGTTTAGTTGATTTCTATTTTTACTACATAAATGTTCATGGATGCATAGAATTGATTAAAACTAAGAGTAATGAGAGAAAAGAAAAAATTATTTGAGTGTCATTAGGAAATGGCGGGGAACATGTGTACAAAAAATGTCAAGCATGCGCTCAACTCATCGCAATATACCTTGTCGGTGCACCTGACAAGATAAAAGATTCTGATCCTCGTATACGTTCTTTCGGCGATGTTTCAAGTCTTCTTCGTAGTGTCGAAGATTACCTCCAACCCTTACACCGTCACCTACTTGCTCTTCGATTTTTTGATCAGCAACAACGTTCTATAATCGACTTGTCAAAGGAAGGGGCACGATTTATGTGGACTCAACTTTTGTTGGATGTCTTGAAAGCATTACCATCCAGCGATCGAACCATGACCGAAATGTTGACGAATTGTGTAGATTACTATATGGATCAAAAAGAAACTCTCAAAAAAATTGAGGAATTTCGTGAGACATACAGACCAGAAGAAGCCGCTAAATGGTATACAGCATCGAGTTTTGTCTATAAATTACTGAACAAAGCATTACGTTCTGATGATATCGATGCATTGCGTATTTTTCGATGGTACATACTCGACCTATGTGGACAGCTCGAAACACTTCATGATCAGCAGCAGCATTTAAAACCATCTCTGAAACGCGTGTTTCGTGGTCAACGATTGACTTTAGGAGAACTCGAGTTGCTCGAAACGCATATAGGTAACCTTGTCTCGACAAACAGTTTTTTTTCAAGTTCTAAGAAAGAAAACGTCGCCAAGCTCTTTATGAAATCATCCAACGAACATCGTCAAGCGGTGCTTTTTATTATTGATGTCGATATGAGTTTGAAGTCGACTATTTGTGCTGACATTAGCACAGTGAGTCATATTCGTGACGAATGTGAAGTGCTTTTCATTCTTTCTGCCGTATTTAAAATTGCTGACGTACGTCGTCCTTTCTGTTCTCATGTGGCAACACAACATTCGAGTGATTTAATATCACCCTACTGGAAAGTATATCTGACGATGACAGACGAAGGACGTGAACGACTAAACGAATACCAAAAATTATTGAGCATTAATGACGAAGAAGACGATCCACAAATTACGTTTGGACGATTAGAAATTCAAATGGGAGAACTTGCAAAAGCAGCGGAGTACTTTACGACTCTCCTTGCTCACATGCCAGAAAAAAAGGTTTATGACCGATCAAAAATTTGCCAGCTTCATGGATGCGCACTCTTTCGCCTTGGTAAGTACGATGAAGCTCTTGCCAAGTTGCAAAAAGGAATACAAATTCTTGAAAAAGCTGAAATTAAAACAAATGATCCAACCTATCTACGAGGTCAATTCCGAATTGCAAATGTATACGTTTTCAAAAGTGAATATGATGATGCCATTACACTGTATACTGATGTTCTTGCTAAGCAACGAAGAGTTCTTCGACCGGATCACCGACACATTGCCGACACACTGAGTGGTCTCAGTTGGGCTCATGGAAAGAAGGGAAACTTAGAAGAAGCACTAAAATTTGATCTTGATGCCCTTAAAATAAAAAAAAGCTTTATGCCTGCCCATCATCCATTGATCACAGAGGCGTACAAATCCATTGGAGGAATCTATGTAAGTTTATGCCGATTTAAAGATGCTTTGGAAAATTTCAACATCGCTTTGCAAACCAGTGAGAAATATCTGCTACCTGATCATCCAACTATTGCCGAAACACTAGCAGAAATTGGATGTGCGCATGACAATTTAGGCAATAAAGAGGAAGCAATGAAAAACTACGAGAAGGCACTTGAAATTCGGGAAAAGAATTTTCCTGGCGGACATGCATCAACTGCTAACGTCCTTGATTCATTGGGATGTCTTTATCGACAGTACAAAGAGTTTGATAAAGCTTTGGAATATCATGATCGAGCAGCAAAACTACGACAACGTCTGCTCGAACCTGACCACGTGGATGTAGCCGCTGGATTACATTGTCTGGCCAATGTCTATTTCGATATGGACGAAAACTTGAAAGCTATAAAGCTTTTTGAAAAAGCTTGTGAGATAAAGAAAAAACACTTGAAGGATAACAGTGTTTCGGTCTGCTGAACTCAAAGTTGTTTAGCTGCTGCGTACAGTAAAAATGGTGAGTATAAAAGAGCACAAAAATTGTTCGAAAAAACATTGATTGATCAACAAGCTGCATATCCGCCGAATGGCGATCATCTTGATGTTGCTACTACACTTTATCAAATGGGTGATAATCTATTGAGAATGGAAAGACGAGAAGAAGCATTGAAATGTTTTCGAAAACATCTGCAAATAAAAGCAAAGTTTTTGGGCGAAACAGATCCTGGCGTCTTGACTACAAAAAAGATGATGGAAGAACTTGAAAATGACGAATGACATATCAATATTAAATATAATGAAATCATTTCTGACTTATATTTAACCTTCTATAGGAGGCACAAACCGATTTGGATCTGACACTTCTCTATACGGTTACTCAAAGTAATTGATACACATAAGTAATAAAAAATCATTAACTGTTATCATCCATTTCTTTTTCATCTCCACTGGTATGAACCAGAATTATAAGTAATCCGGTCTGATCGGTTGATACACTTGAACTAACTGGCTTTTCTTGACAGCAAGCAACTAGGCGAATATGATCGAAAGTTCTCTCTACCAAAATTCAAATATTGGAATGAATACACTTATGGTTACTCTATCTTACTCTAAAATAAGATTTCCAGAAACTAAGTCGAACGCTGAGAATGCCGACTGTTAAAAATATCCTTGTAAATTGGTAGTTATTCATAAATCATACGCACTATCAGGCTATGGAAATATTTCAAAATGAAAAACTATCGGAGCCTAATGATTGACCGATAAGCTTCACTGTATGAAGAAATTGTTTCAATTGAATCAGAAATGTAGTAGAAAAAAGCAATTACTGGCCCGAAAGTAGGTTCTAAAATTGGTTGTATCATAGTTTGTGAACGTGACAATGAATTCTAATCTAATCAGGCTAAAACTTTCGTCAATTATTCTTCTGTATATAATTTATCGTTAGCCATAGCGGCGATTCGTATCAGCGGGTAGAGACAAAGCTGTAAGTTCCCTAAAAAAATCTGATTTCAGCTTCGGAATCGTTAATTTTGCCAAAACAAAGATCTTGTGGCACAAGACCAAGGTGTTATACGGAACCAGTTCGTCAAAGCCTATCGCATCATATGTAGCAATAAATTTTTCTCATAAGCAAAAGTCAGTTTCTGAGTTTCACAAGGTTTTGGAAAACAGCCTCTCCGTAGTTTGAAAACCAGATAAGGAATTCTAGTCCAATCGATCTGAAACACTCAGCAGTTATTCTTATGAATATGATTTATCGTTGACCATGGCGCCACTTAAGGGTATGGATGTGGGTATCGGTGCCAGTGTGGGTGTGAGTGTGGGGTGTGGGTGTAACCTCAGTTCGACGCCCCCACCCGACACCCGACACTCCACAACCGACACCCGACACCCCACACCCACACCCACACCCCACTCCTCACACCCACACCCACACCCAACACCCACCCACATCTACGCCCTCCATAAAAACCGTTAACACGATTTCATTACATAACATGCAAACAAATTTGTACTCTTTTATACATGGATTTCATTTTAGAGCCAACTCATGATCGGTGTAATGGCTTTTTCTTGATAGACTATAGCGAGTTGATCTTGAATTCCTTGGATATTTTGCATTATTTTCTTGGCCGAAAAGAAGACATTGCCAAGAGCAAGACGATCACTCATTGATCGAGTCAAATGGATTTGTCGAACGATTTCTGTGACTGACCAATTGGTGGTTCCCGTTAAACGATAGACAGCATTGCCCGGATAAACGTGACGACCTCTAGATGTTTGTTGAATCCACCATTTGAGCAGAGCTGAATACGATTGTGCAGGTGGATCGATTTGCCAGTAGAGTTGAGGCGTTAGATAGTCGACAAGACCTTCTTGGAGTCAAAGTCGACTATCGCAGAAAAGACTATCATAAGAAGAAAGACCAGTAATACTCGGCGGAAAACCATTTTTCCAAATCCCAAATGGTGAAATACCAAATTTGACTTTTGGTCGAATTGTATGAATCCGTCGATTCAATGAATAAACTAAACTGTTGACATTCGAACGTCGCCAATCGTTTAGATTCAATGTTCCGCCTTGCTCTTGAAAGCGAGTATAAGTTGCATGATCGGGGAATTCGGTTCCATCACTGTATGGATAGAAATAATCATCCATGTGAATACCATCTACAGCGTATCGATTAATGATATCTTCAACAACTTGACAGATAAAATCTTGTATTTCAGAAGAACCTGGATCCATCCAGATTTGATTCGCATACGAGTAGGCATAAGTAGCGAATCGTTTGGCCATATGATTTGATGCCAGTTCGTACGTTGCACTACTGAGTCGTGCACTATATGGGTTGATCCAAGCATGGACTTCAATATTTCGTTTGTGTGCCTCATCAACAATAAATGTTAGAGGGTCCCAGAGAGGTGATGGTGGAACGCCATGATTACCAGTTAAATAGATGCTCCATGGCTCAAGAGTCGATGCATATAAGGCATCTCCGGCTGGTCGAACCTGAAAAGAATTACTTATTCATTGCTTTTGTCATTCAATGGATTGTACCTGGAAAATAACTGCATTCATATTCAATCGTTCCATCATATTCAAAATATTAAGAAGTTCAGTTTGTTGTTGAGTGACAGAAATCATTGATGACGATGGCCAATCAATATTAAAAACTGTCGCAATCCAAATAGCTCGAAACTCTTGTTTTTCTGTTTGATTCAACGAAAAACAACATGTCACATTCGACGATTCAGATTCACAGAGACTAGACATCATTTATTTGAATATCTATTATGATCAATACATGAGTCTATACCAAACTGTTGATGAACATACGTATCATAAGACTAGAGTCAAGCTTCGAACAAGGAACTGATTCAGACAAGCAAAATAGAGCAAAACACAGGAATCGCGTTAAGTTTGAGATCATTTTCAAATATGACGCAGAACGCGATTGACTAAGAGTAATATACTTGTTTTTTTTTTACAAAAACACCGCTATTGTTTTCGTTCTCTGAAGAGTACTACTTTTTTTTCGTTTGAGAAGCTAATCGATAGACAAGTTAAGAAGACACAGCGGACTCTTCAATCGTAACTTTCTCAGTCAATAATGAATTCATTGCAGACGTAGTTAAATCTCAAATGGTCATCTGGTCAACCAACTGTACTGAATCCCATCAGAGAGTTTATTATGATCATTGTTTTCTTTTCATAAATCCACGCCTTGTAGCATGAAAATTCGTCTCAGTAGCAGCAGACCAACCCAAGTGATTCAATTCGGCTGATAGATCCTATTCAAAAAGACTGAATTACCTGGAAATCCGGCGTCTTCCTTAAAAATCGATAGGATACAACCTTGTTTTTGACGGATTCCTTGTAGCTTGATTATACTGTAAAAAACCGATCGTTTCTTATAGAGTCCAATAGTTAAATATTATCGAATTCATCAAGATCTTCCTAGGCAAGAAATTACCAAATGAAGCACTCTACAATAGATCAAGTCAGATTTCAACGGATTCTGACATCTGAAATTCAGAGAGAACTATGTCAGAAGATATGCTATATGACCCTACCAATTGTAACTGACCTAGTGATCTACGGTTTACGGTGGTGCGTCAATGTTACTGTGTTTTTTGCCATATTTTGCGCAGAAATAAATGAAACAGCGTGGAAAAACATCCGAGATTGTCTTATTTGAAAGTGCCAAATGCCGAAATCATCGATCTGGGAAAAACGAATTGATTGGAAAAACTGTATTATAGTAATTTGGGATGCTGATGCTTATCCATCGAGGTACGTTCATTTGAAATGACTCTTACCGAAATTTTATGCCAGACCTATGGAAATACCTATGCTTGAAGCTAGTAAGCTCCGTGTATGTGATAATAGTCCATCAACTGTGAAGGCACTCACTTTAGGCACGGGCTTTTTGCATATGACTGGCTTTCTAATAAAGCGCTATTGTATATGGTAGTCCAATTCTATAGCTGATTCACAGATAAGATACTTTTTTTCAAATACAAAAGTTCAACTCAACTAAAATTTAAATATAATATCCGTAATCAGTGCTCACAACCACATATCAATGAAATGTATCACAAGACATTTGAATAAAGTAACATTTGTGAATCTTGCTCAGTACTACAGGGACAAAAACCTTACAACGAAAGATTTTTTACTATAAATTAAAAACAGGAGATATATTCGGATCAAATAAAAGCTCTTGGTGTCAAACTAAGGAATTCAAAAATGAAGTGTCTATAGTGTGCATGGACTGAAATGTTCAAAGATTTAGATGTGTACAATGTGTGTAATGTGCCTCGATATTAAAGAGAAAATGGCGAAAACTCCATCTTTTATCGTATCTCAACGTTTGAGTGATAGTGAAATTTGATGATGTATTCAATCTTTATATCGGAAAGGTTAATGCAGAATCAATCCAAACGGATATACTCGTGGCATATGTTGATAGTAAATTTGAGATATCTATGAAGTTCTTGAGGATGGTTTTGACGTACCAGTAAAATATCTTTAGATACGAAATTTTCGCTTTTTTCCCTCATTAGATATGCATCAGTTTCAGTTATGACTTTTTGACTGCTATCAATTGAACTGGATATACATTCATAGTTTTGGTACTAATTTCTACGAATCCTTGTTCTATAACAACTAATTATCAAGTATGCTAAGTATACATGAGATTCAATTATTAAGAGAGAAACTGGCACACATTTAACTGAGGTTGGTGCACACTTAAATTTGCCCACAATTTAAAGTTTCAGAAAAATATTTTTTCTTTTTTTGTATCGTTAGATAGAACTCGTCGACTTAAATAAGAAAATGTATCTTTCAAGTTTAAAACAAATTCACTAAAAAAATCCAAGATATCATTAATTTCAAATATAAGGAGAACTAGACTCAAAATTCTGACTTTTAGGAAACTTCTGTTTTATATATTTGAAAAGTACGTTTTCTTGTGTAACTCGATGAGTTCTATATAACTACCACAAAAACAGAAAAATAAATTCTGCTGAAATGTTGAATTATGAGCACATTGCATAAACTGTATGTATTCTAAAATTTGGATATTTCAATCTAGGTACCTAAGGGCAACTCATATTTTTAATTTGTTAGTTTGGCAGTGAGAGTTTTTATCTGATCCGAATATGTTTAGTCTTGTAACTTACAATATAAAACCTTCCATTGTTACTTCAAAATGGTGCAAAATTAACAGAAAAACCTTTCCAGATGATAAAAAAGCTTTTCTAACAAGACTTTTATTATTTGGTAGAATCTACTCAGAGTAGACAAACTCTATAATGATTCATCTCATTATTGCTTTCTTCTCGAATTATGGCCATATTACTGAGTCTTTGTCTAAGTGCACGGTATATCATGAAAATTCCAATCTCGCAGTTTTGGTCTCAAATTTTACCCATAAAAACAAGTCTTATGATATCTGTCGAATACTGGAAGCTTCAACTAGAATGGATGTTCTCTTCTTAGGATGTCAGATGCACAGTCTATGCGTATATTTTAGAAAACATTCGGAAAAACTCAGTTTTCTTGTAAATTTGCTGTATCAGAAAGTAAATATGCGTCCTAACTGAAACTTTCAGTGCACGGTAGAGACCATAAAAGACTTTTTATGGGTACAGTCTGAGACCAAAATTGCGAGATCGAAGGACTTAGTCAACGACTCAGTAATATGGTTATAATTCGACAAGAAAACAACAATGAAATAAATCATTATAGTATTTGTCTACTCTCAGTAGATCCTGCCGAATGGCATAAATTTTGTCCCTGAAGCTTTTTGTCAACTAGGGAGTTTCCCTTGTAAATAGTAGGAAAAACTTCTAGTGATCCTCTGACACCTTCCCGAGAGGTAAAAGAGAATGATAATCCTGGTGCACGTTTCTGGTAGTTACATTAAATCTAGTACGTGTTTTTGTCAAATTGTTAATTAATGATTAACAAGTAAGTAAAGTGCAGGTGTTTATGTCCTCATGCCAGGGTCACCAATTGTTAAGCTGCACCTAGCTTTTAATTTATTTTTATCCCGTCTTTTTTAGATAAAAAACACGCTAACAATTATACACATCCAGGGAAAAACTGAAAGACGCGTCATGCATATGAATAAAAGACAGAAAAAAAAAGAAGAAAGAGAAGAAAGAAGATGAACAAGGAAAAGAGAAAAAGGTGAATAAAGACAAGAGAACACGAACAAGATATATAACAGGAATAATATGATCTCGTGTTATCAACACGGATCATAACACTGGTGCTAGAAATTGAGCACTTGAGTTTCTCATAATCAAACTAGTTGTCACTAAGCCGACAACGGATATATGCGTGGGTAACATACAGACATCTTTCAGAAAGCTTAAATAACTGGGGTTTAAACAAATTATGTTTATGGAAATTCTACAGCAATGGCTTTTTGCATAAGCTTTTCCATGTTTTTATGTGACTAGTTCCTTGTTTTTCTTTCCTACTAAAACCACAGTAAGAGATTACGTAACAAGAATTACACGTCAGTCTTTGTTTGATGCATTACTGCTTCTTTGTCTATGGTAACAGCCCCTACAATATTACCCGTAAGCGCTTATGAAAGATCTATGTTAAACACTATTTTTAGAGCAGATAGAAAATTATACGTACTACAATCCTGTGACTCACTATTATACAACTACGTTTTCTGCTAAGTTGAGTTCTACAAAAGAAATTGATGTCCACGTGAGTCGCTTATCTTATTGTCGACGGCGAAACAGATGAATAACAAATACAAGTCGCTCTTTTTGGGGCGGTCGCATTTTATCAAACTAACTGAAGCGCAAATATGAGTGAGGCTTTTTTCTCCTTTTTGCCTACTTTGCCCTTTTCTCGTCTTTTTACTGCTTTCTCTTCTTTTTTTCCTTTTTTCTTTCTTTTCATATCTACCTTTTTGCGCCTGCCTCCATTTATTCTTTTATTTTATTTTTCTCCTACAGTTCGTCACTTGTGAATGAGTACTCGTTACACATGTATTAATTATAGGGCGCTCAAGGTCAACTATATATGACTTTGATTCTCAGTCAGCTCTGTTTTCTTAGACTTTCATTTAAATTTGCGAGCACTTTCGAGTGTTATACTCTAGCCAAATACAAAAATTACAGAAGTGATCAGATAATATCTACTCAGCCATGATAATGCATGGTTTCGCTGTGTCTTTTTCATCTGTCATAATGTATTATTTTTGAAAAATCATACGGATATAATGGATTTATAAAGTTGTACTATTAATACATTGGAAATATTCAAAGTGATTGAAAATAATGTATTCTAATGTACACCATTTTAAAGATCTGTCAGATAAAATAAAATACATCGTATAGTCTCGTTTCATAATGCCATAAAGGATATTTATTCTTTTTTTCTTGAGACTGGATATGTTACTCTTTCGCATATTCTTTTTCTTTAAATGTTTTTTCTTTCATGTTTGCTCGTGACGCTGTTCTAAATCATTCTCTTGTTCTGTTACTCTTTTTGCAAGCTCTGCCTGTTTGCTTGACGGTATTATTTGATAATATGTATCTTTGAGCAGCGAAACGGTAGGAATATTGACTTAGGGCTTTATAACTCAATATATACTCCTGAATCTGTCCACTAGATGGCAATAAGACGTCTGATCATTGTTACAGGAACGGTATTCAGAATCGATCATGAAGTGACTCAGTGGTTTGCAAAACTTTATTCACTTCTACTGATCAATTGAGTAGATTTTCAAGAGGATATGAAGTGTACATAATGTGAAAATTTAGTAAACTTTTTCATTCATTATATACCATTTGCTAAAGCTTGAAAAGTTTATAAGAGATATATTACATCCGTGGGCAAAAGTCTTTTCCCCCATTTCTTTTTTTGACAAGGTTTTCTCTGCTATTATAAGGACAAAACATGGTGTTGTTCGGGACATATTGAAGAGGATCCCTAATAACCCCTAATCGACCCGAACAACACCATGTTTTGTCCTTATAATAGCAGAGAAAACCTTGTCAAAAAAAGAAATGGGGGAAAAGACTTTTGCCCACGAGTGTATTTTTTAACTAAGCTGGAATTTTCTTCTTTTCTCTTTTAGTAATCTTGAGGGTGTGGTGGGTGTAGGGTGTGGATTTGGATACGAGGTATGGTGTGGTATGGGTGGGTGTGGATATGGATGTGTGTCGGATATGGGTAGGTGCAGGTGTGAGTGTGTGGAGTGTGAGTATGGGCATATGGTCTGAGTGTGAGTGTGCGGTGTGAATGAGGTGCGGCTGTGGGTCTTGGTGTGGGTGTCTTGGACCACAATCATCCACACCCATATCCACATTCCACATCCTGTTTTCTTTCCTGCCACATTTGTGTTTTTGTTTTGTTGAATCGTATACATTGTCATCAGCAAATTTATTTTTCCTTTCGACTATTCTTTGCACAATTTTTATTTTTCTTTAGCTATTCTATTTTACCTAGGATTGTATTCATGATGCCAAGAATTACTCAAATTTAGAAAACTTCAATCTTCTTTGCAATTTATATAAATAGATGTCAAATGTTTTTTTTGAAGTGTTCTAGAACACGTTCTCATCGATTTTTAGGCAGATCAATGGTCAAATAACTAATGTCAACGATGATATTTAGTTATGTGCGATGTAGATGTCAGTCTTAGAGAAGAAAATGGATGTGAGTGTAGGCAGGTACGGATGACGAGCTAAATGCGACTAGTTTAATGGGTTCAGGTAAGAGTAATCCTGCCATCAGCAATGACACCCACATCCATTGGTTTTACAAAGTTTTCAGTTGGACCAAACAACGTTTGTTTTCGTGAAACAAACCACAACAAGAAAAAAAACAACTTTGTTAGATTGTGGGTGTGGGTGAAGATAAAGAGAAGACGTACCTACCTACATGCACAACCACCCACCCACATCCGAAGTCCACTCGCAGATAGCATGAAACAAACGATGAGTACAAAATGTAGAATCAACGCTCTAGTAAGAACTGTGCTAAGAACGGAAGCGGTGACAGCACCACCAGAAAAAGCTCAATACATGTGTTTCAAACGGATGCTTTCAATTGAAACTGAATGGAATACCTGAAGAATAAGACCACTCAGTTGATTACATGTGGATGCAAATATTTCCAAGATATGCATCCAAGTTTTATGATACCATTTATCTGGTTGAATAAGAGCCTTTTCCATGAGAATTTTTGTTTCTTCTACGAATGATTTTTGAATTCATGTATATTCTTTCCGTGCATCTTTTAAAATTTTATTATAGATTTCATAAGTTCTGTCGGAGATATCTAGTTTAATTTTAATATCATTTTGAATTTGTGTAATTAAGTTGGCCGCACTTTCCACGACTACTTTGAGAATCAATGGATCAACTGTTGCCGCAGTTGTAGTCATTATTGTTGTCAGAGTAGTTTTTAAATGAGCTGTAGCAGATCAGAGAGAAAAGGTTGCTATGGATATTATATGGCAGTGTATCAGCAATATATAAGACCGTTGTTGGTTTTTCCTCATAAAATGTTTGGCCTCACATAATCTTCTTTCATTCGTTTTTTGGAATTTATCAACTAATCATTAATTTTTTCTTTTTCTTTCTTTCATTCTTTACGTGTGAAATGTAATGACAAGAACAATTACAGTTGTGTTCAAAAAAACTTGCACTCATACATCGGAATGCTACTTTCTCGAAATAAGTTTATTTCTACTGCTTTTCATATGGTTAGATAGCTCACAAAAAATACTACACATGGATGTATTTTGATTTATTTTCCATCCATCTTCAAAAGAAACAATCACTTAATACATTGTATTAAAAAACAAAATATACCACAAGATGCAGCGTGAGAAGCTCTACAATTTACATAAGATCGCTTATTTTATAGTTGCACTTTTTGTTTTCAAAATGAACAAAATTTTGAGCGACCAATTTTCAACTGTGCGAAAATGATATTTTTTTGGTGCAAGATGAATGTTTTATCATCGAATATCTTTTATTTAGAAAAACAAAATACATCACAAGATTCAGCGTGAAAAGCTCTACAATCTTCAAAGTAAAGGTCATTTTAATTGTGTACTTCTTGTTTTCAAAAAAAACGCAAAATTCTCTGCGACCATGTTCGCTGCCCTGAAAAAATCATTTTTTTCTATACGAAAAGAAATTCCTTTTTTCTTATTCCATATATGAAATAACTGTTCTTTATAAATTGTAGAGTATTTCACGCTATATTTTGTGATATATTTTGTTTTTTAATGCAATGTATTAAGTGACTGAAACATTTAATCTGCCTCACCCGCTGGTGAAGTTTTACACAAAAACAGTTCTTATCGAAAACTTTATTATTATGATATTAGTTGAAGAATGATCAAATAGCACAGAACAATAGAACATCATTTTCTCTATCACAACATAAAAAAAGAAAATTTCTTCAAGCTTACTATACAGTATTAAAGTGTCATTGCCACTACTTTTAGAATGCCCTAAGTAGAACAAATTATTATTTGTATTCATTTAATATTATGAAAATCCGATTTTTTTGTATATGTCTAAGAAATCTAAGCTAGTAAGTTAATGGAATTGTCTTCCTATATATATGTAGTTTAACTCACGTTCTATCCGTATATATATATATAAATGAAGGTCTAACAATGATTTGTAGAGGAGAACGAGCTAATAGAAAAAGGTAGTTTTTTTTTGTTCGGGGAAGAGTGGCAAGTACATAAAACAAATTCTTTCCTTTGTATATTATATCGAAGTAAGTGTGAGAAACTACAGCTGTTTGATTTCGATTGTGTGGCTTGAATTTCATTGAAATTATACTATGAATAGATGGAATGGTATTGAATTACTAGTCATTAAAGATAAACAAACCGATTTATAATGTTTAGAAACTGATTTCATAGAAAATCACCAATAATAAGCTTAAATATGGAATGTCGCTTTTCTATTAATTTTTGGTTACTAGATGATAAAAGCCTGAGTTCCATTGATAGAAGTCTTATCACTTTGTTCTCCATTTCTCAAAACTTATGATATTGATTATCAACAATCTAAACGTTTTATTTTCCTATAGAAATAGAACAAACTATTATATAAAACGCTTTTCAATAATAGAACGACATACAAATTAAATCATCGAAATAAATATTAAAAGTCTTTTAATACGATTCAGTTTTTTTTTTTTAATCAAGCATTTCAAAGAATTTTCCTTTTTTCCAACTAACAAATTGTTGTAATTGTTTTGAACCACTTGTTATTGTTGCTGGAAATTTTAAACAAGCATAATCTTGATTTTTATTATCACCTATTATTTCTATTTTGACATAAAGTGACATTGATGGATATGATGGTAAAACTGGTAATGAAAGTGATGCTGTATTAATATCACCTTCATTAACTGGACATTTAATACCTAATTTGCAACCATCTGGATCAGGTAATGGAAATGGAATAGGTACACCAGCAATAATACCTTTGATAAGTAAATTGACATATGAAACAAAAGAAAAATTATTCTTATTTTATTTTACCATGTATGCTAACTTTAGCAGTAATTGATGAAGCTTTTGATTGAAATGTTATATTCATTGTATATGTATTACCTTTAACAAATTTACATGGAGCTGTTGTACAACCGGTGACATCAAATGTTTTAATTGTACCTAATTCTGATTGACAAACTCTATATGGTGTTGCTGTCGATACAAAATTTATGGAACAAAATAATAATATAAGAAGAAAGAATGAAAACATTTTATGATTTGCAAGAAGAAAAAATGAAACGCATATGTTGATCGAACCATACACATATATATATTTACATAGTCAAGTGATTTTTTTGCTCATACGTTTTCTTTTCTTTTAATGAGAATGACTCATTCAATTTCTTGTCGTTGTTTCATTTTATATGCGCTTATGTATTGTCATGTTTTAATATGACGAAAAAAGAAAACTAATTAAACAAATATATATATATATATGTATATAAATGTACATAATGATATTAGAAACATGTTGCTGCATAGATAGCAAACGAGCAAGGACATAACACAGAAAAAAAAGCGATAGTGTATTTAAGAAGAAATTTACAAAAAAAAGCAAGAAAGAAAATTAAGTAAAGAACATTTTTTAGGTTCTTTTCTTTCATAGAATAATGATTATTATTTAATTTCTAATATATATGAACTTCACATTAATACCATAGTCACCTCAACTCGTAGCGAGATGTAAAAGAAAAAGAAAATTTCTTTTTTTTTTACAAATTCCTTTTTGTTCTTTAAGAATCAAACAGGTGAAATGAAACAAAAAAAGTTTCTTTTTTTACGGCGAATCTGACAACTAATGATGAGTTTTAATGGTATTGGATGGCATGACAAAAGAATTAATCTTCACTTAAAAACAATAGATGAGTATTTTATATAACATATGTCTAACATATGTATTACTACGATTTTCCAAACACAAATCAGATCGATATAATAGAAAGTAAAATAAGAGAAGAAAAAGAAAACAAACCATTGAATAACACAAAGAGTGTTAGTAGGAAAATATAAGAAAACGAAACAAGAGACAGGACAACACAAAACAAATAATGTACAGAGTTGATGAAAAAAAAATTTTTTTTTGTTGTTGAAGAACGAGTACAGTTTACTGTTTATGAAAATAAAAATAAAAAGGCACCGGGCCAATTAAACAAACATTCAGGCACATTTATTTAGACTGCTGTCACTTGTCCATGATCATCATAATCAACAGTTGGTTCTTCTATAAATTAGAAAAAAAAAAGAAAACCAATGCCAATTATTCTGCTCAAATCTTTTCAGATCGTTTCTAACTGTAGTATTTTGAAATTTCATACAAACCTGGATTAGTATTTACTTCATTTTGAGATTTCGAACGTTGCATCCGAGTACGTATTGTTATAGGTCTTGGAATATCATTATAATGCATCTCTAGAAAAGAAATAGAGGTTATTCATAATGATCTTAAACTTAAAGATTTGAGAACATTTTTCAAGCTCTCATAATCGTAATTCTATGATAAATTATTTATTTAAAAATTTAATTTTTTACTTGATTTCGTTTGATTTCGAGTTTTATTCGATGAATATTCATCAGTGAAAGTATTATGTGTTAGTTTTTCACTTCTATCACCAGCATTATCTATAATATAATTACTTTAATAATTAAAATAATATTCATCAATACATACGTGTATCTTTTAGATGAAGACTATCATTTCCTGAATCAATATGTTTAGATAAATTGTTATTATTATTATTATTATTATTATTATTATTATTTTGATTGAATTCTTAGAAAAAAAACAAAAACCAAAAAATCGAACTTATTTTTTTATTCTTTTTCGTCAAAAACAAAAATAACTTACGAACATGCGATCGAACATGGAATGTTGATGATGGTGGTTTAAAATTTAAACTTGAACTTTCACTTGTTAATTTATTTGCATCACGTATTTTCGTTACATGTTGACGACGATGTTGATTTAATTCATTAACTGATGTAAGTCCTGTTGTTGTTAATGCATTATTTATTAATGGTGATGTCGTTTGAAGAATAGATGAACTTGAATTAGAATTTGGTTTTAATGGTGCTCGAGATTTTATTTGATGACTACTATTTGATAGACGAAGTAATTTATTAACATCATCCGGTGATTGTGTACCTACAAAAATAAAGATAAATTTTTATATTTTCTCCAAATAATAAACAAAAACAACAAGCAAAATCAAATAATATTTAAATTGATACGGATAGAAAAAAAAAAGATTTATAACAACATATAAATTTATGTTTACCTGAATAAAATTCTAAACAGAAGAGAGAGGTTTGAGAGCTGGTTTTCGTCTTTGTTTTTTTAATAAAAATTAATCGATTCGAAAGAAATGATTACATACCAAATTTAGTTAATTGTATAGCACCACCACGACGATCACAAGACGAATTCGATGATAAACTTGATGTTGAAGGTGATGGACGTCGTTTAATTGTAGTTACTAAACAAAAAAAATAAAAAATTTGTTTATTAGATAATTAGATAAATATATGATCAAATAAAGAAATAGCAAAAGCAATAAATCAGTTAATGCTTAGTGTAAAATAGAAAGTGAGAATATTTCTTTTTTCTAGCTTTTAGCGAAATACCATGATGATGAAAGGGATTTTTCAAAAAATGGAATTTTTTTGGCGACGACTTTATCCGTAATCGTGAACGTTCAGTATGTGTTGTATCGTCACTTCCATTAGTCATACTAGACTTTGCATCATTGTCTTCTTTGAATATTGAATTCTCGTCAAAACTGAGCAATGAAAGTTCACCAGGTGTTGGCGTACATGGTGATAAATTTTCTCCTCGATCTAAAGAAATAAGTGTGCATATTTTTCAATAAACCACACGATCTTATCAAATTCATTTAATTTTTGATTTATATATGATCAAAAACAATAATCATATATTGCAAATCTCACAATTGCTTTTTTTCCAAAATAAAAATAAAAACTATGAGATTTTTTTTAAACTTATTTCCTACCAGGTTCACATGGATGAGTTAATGCAAGTAAACGATCTTCATCTTCAATTATTTCAGCATTATTTAAATATGTTTTAACTTTTTTAACCATTAATGTCTAAATAATAATAATTCGTTATAAACAAAAACAAAAACAAAAAGAAATTTTTTTTTCTTATACTTCATCATAAATTCGTTTAGCATTAGTCATAACAGATAAACGTACAGTCGTTTGATTTCTTCGCATTGTTCCAACTGAATCTGTTGTTGATTGATGACCAAAACTAGAAAAAAATTGTGAATGTGATGTTGAAGAATCAAACATATTTGAAAGATCCTAAATAAAAAAAAAGAAGCTATTACAAATACAACTATTAATTAATATTTATTTTTTACATATGGTGATGATGACATATTCATTATATAACGAATTTCTTTTGCAATCATACGAAGTTTTTCAAAATTAACCTTAAATAATAAATAGATTAGAAAGTTTTCTCAAGCGAAAAAAAAAATTATTTCATTTCTATTACCAAGCCATTATCTTTTGTTTGATTTCCCAAATGAATAAATGTTAAATCTTTCATACATACTGGAAACATAGGAATCTATAAGATGAATAAATAAAATAGATGAATTTATTATATTATGATTATTTTAATAATTTACAATAGGTGGTCCAATGAATTCACTTTTTAATAAATTTCGATAAACACACATATTTCGAGATAAATCAAGTAATGATTTTAATTCCTAGATAAAGAAAAAAAGATGAAGAAATTATTATTGATCTTATAAATTTAATCTGTACGAATTCGATGCTCTAAAAGTTATTACTGACAGTTCTTTTTATAGGAAGACCATTGCCCATAGCTACCCTCACTTCAAAAAAGTTTGGCAAGAAAATTCCTCGCTGGCCCATTGATCACAGTATTGATCCATGATCACTTTTCGAAGACTTTAAATTTGCTATTTTACCTTTTGGATAGATCCAACTTGAACCGAAAGTTCTTATACTCTTCACTCTATAACATGATTCTTCATTCTGACATTTTACTAATATCGAATGTCTTATAAATTTCTCTCTATTGTTTTAGTTTAAATTCTATAAGAATGCTTTATAAGTAGCAAATAGTTAAAAGTATAGTATGATTTACTTCAAATATTTTTTTATATTTTTCAGGTACACGTTCCCATGTCGTTTGTAAACGTTGTACAGCTTTATGATCAAGTCCACTAATAACTGAAAACATTGAATTAAAATTTTTTACATCTTTACAAGATTCTAAATTAAAATAAAATAATTTTTGTTATTTTTTTTTTTTGAGTATTTTAATAAATCTTGCTTCTTACTTGCTATTTTAATAAAATGTTTAATTATTTTTGATCGATGCATTATATTTGTTTCACGTATTATTTCTGTTATAGTCCAATACATTTCTTTATTAGGTAATCGAAGAAATTTTTCGAGATGTGGTATACCATAAGATGATTTTAATTTAAATATATGATCAATATATTCTGTTGGTTGAATAGATTTAAATATTTCAAAATCTCTTAATGTTAGTTGTGCACATATTTCAAGTGAATCTAATTGAAGAAAATGAATACGTGCTTCACGTATAAATTCATTTGTTAAATGATCTGGTACAAGTGTATCAGTTGAATGATTATTTTTTAAATAATAACGAGCATTTATTGGTAAACGTTCACATAAATTATCAATATGATCTGATAAACGTTTTTGTTTTATAACACCATTTTCAACAGATATTTCACATAATGAATAATGTCTGAAAGAAAGAAAGAAAGAAACAAAAAATAATAATAATAATAATAATAATAACACAAACTAAATTAATATTTCGTTAGATTTGTCATTATTTATATAGATAAAAATAAATTATCAATGATTAAGCAAATCAGTATGAAAAAATTATTATATATAAATTATTTGAAATATACATAAATAATGTTTTCTAAATTGTAATCACACTATTAATTGAATTATATGTTTTTTAGACTCACTCAACCTTAAAATAATGATCTGTTGACTTGATATTACGTGTCATAAGATAATTTTAACTCTCTCAAATTTAGCTAATATAGAAACATTAAATAAAGTGTTATGTTTTTCAAGGGTTTGTTTTTATAAAAGAATGCTTATGAAATTGGAGCAACAGTAGAAATTCATATCGATGAGAAAACTGCTAATAGTTTTACTTATTATAAAGTAATTATCATGTTTGTTGAAGATTCTAGACAAAGCTTAATAGAATTCGTGTGCTTGCATCTATGAGAGGAAAATCGGATGTGGTAGCAGAATTAGAAAAAAGTTGTAGGGAGCTCACAAGGGAACTACTCAGGCTGTAAATTGCCGTTTGAGGTTATAAGGAACTCTCATACTTGTAATTTTGCCCATAGATAGGTCCAATGACTCTTCGAACATCGTGAACATTTCAGTCAAAAAGAATGTTCCTTTCGGCTGAAACTTTTACGACATTCTAAAAGTCATTAGACTTATATATGTGCAAAATTTCAGATCGAAACTGCATTATTTAATTTTCTGAGAAGGTCAAATATTCAATAAAACGATCTTAACTTAGTTTCAATATGACGAATATCAGTTCTTGTGATTCTCTCATCAGATTTCAATATTAATTTTTTGTTTAATCATAATTTACATAGTCATCGTAGAAAATGTTTTGTTAAAAAAGAAAAAGCAAGCAGTTTAACCAATAAAACCCCTAAAGCACGAGCGTATATATTTTAAATATTTAATTAATAAAATATTTAAAAAAAAAAGAACAAAGCACAAGAGCTTCCCATCCCTTAAGACAAATGTCTTACCGCAATAGGTCAATCTCTTCACAAGAAGATACATGGCTAGAAAAATGAGTATGATATCAAATAAAGAATAATAACTAAATTTATCATGAATAAGTCAAAGTATTACTAATTATGCAAATTTTAAAAGCATCAACAACAACAAAAAAAGCAAAGATATATACCTGCTTTGATCAAGAATACTGAATTCAGTTATAGCTAGCATCACAAGTTGTTTAGCTGTTGTATCCTTTTTATAAAAAACAAAGAGAAAATATTTTTGTCTAATAAAATTTTATTATTTGTCTTTTTTTGTTTACTTTGAGTACAGGGAAATATTTATACGATTGATCACTACGATAAACTTTAACAACAAATGTTGCATTATCTTCATCATTAATTGTACTATTAAATGTTGATATTGATGATGACATTGATTTGTTACTAATTGATGATGGTGATAGATCTGGATTACTTGAACTTCTATTAAGACTTTTATTTGAATTTGACATTGATAACAAACTTGAATCGAGAACATTATCTGTTGTAGTTGTTTCAACTTCACTAAAAAAAATCATTAAATTTTATTGTTTTTTTTTTTATTTTAAAAATTAAAGTAAAGATGAAAAAAACACGAAAGCTATGAAAAACAAAAAATAGACTCGTTGATCTCATTATTGCCAAATTTTTAATTATATTTCGGTAAGCATGAAATGTTAGTTAAAAACCGTAACAATCAAATATGATACGGGTTATTCAATAGAAAATAAAAAATGTTTTTGTTGAAAAGATAAACGAAAAATTGTTTTATTTTTCAATTAAGATTTTGTTGTCAAGATAAATTGGAAATATTATCTTTTCGTATTATCATACATTTTCTTTTATTGTTGTTTTTTTTAATCAAAAATAAGAAAATAAAGATATGTATAACATTGTTTCGAGTCTTATATTACATAGTTTTAAGGCATTAAATAGAATACAAAACGTGTAGAAATGAGCATTTTGAAAAAGCATTAAAATATCATCGAACTGAAAGACACTGCACATTTAGTTGAGATTATTAATCGATTTCTTTCAATTTATTGAAAAATTCAAAAATATTTACAAAACAATAATCTTTTGTAGATAAATATTGAATTTTTATTCGATTATAAATAGTATTTTTAATCTTCGCAACTTATTTTTCTATTATCCTTTTGGTAAGATAGTGCTAGTACACAGCGGTTCTATGTTTTTGCATTCCAACCAATATTATAGTTCCCATTCTTTCCTTCTAGCGCATGTTTCTTGTATTTCTGTTTTTCTTCTGCGATTTCCTCAGCATGTCTAAAAATCATGCAAAAGAACGGAAGAAAAAAAAGAAAGACCTGAAGTAATAATTTCACGTATGCTGGTTTTTGTTGACATATTTTGTTTTTATAGACATATTTTGTTTTTATATATAATTTTGAATCGACGTAATAAGATTATTTTTTGTATTTTATATGAAGTTTAGTATTCCATATGATAAATAATAATTATTCAATATTTTTTAACCGTCGAAATCGACGGAGATGAGTACAACGAAATTAGAATTAACCAATCCAAATAAAAAAGAAATTTTAACAAAATCAATTCCAATAAATAGTATATCCGATGATAGTGAAGATGAAAGTATTGAAAGTAATATAGTTAATCAAGAAAAACAACAATCTTCAATATTATATTTATTTATTAAACGTTATATACAACAATTAAAACTTGTATTTCAATCAATTATATCTGATTTAAAAGATTTTAAATATTGGCAAATTATTATATTTATACTCTTTGCTACATTCAATGTTGTTTTTTCCATATTGGTAAATAACTTTAAAAAAAATAAAACCATACACTTTATTTTAAAATAAAATTTTGTATTTTTGAAGGATTTTAATTCATTTTTTTCACATCAACAACCACGTTCATTATTAAAATGGACTAATGATGTAGAAGATGGAAAACCATTATGGCGTCGTATTTTATTATGTTTTTCTGGTATATCAGCATTTACAAATATTTTATATGTTGGACTTGTAATCTATGGTAAGATTTCATCGTTTTTTTGGGGTATTACAGGTGCAATTCTGTATGGTATTTATGCATTTGCTTATGGTTATGTTGGTGATGCACAATTATTTGTATTCTTTTTTTTACCGATGCAATTTATTGGAATTTATTTATGGTCAAAAAAATTAGATAATAAATCTACAACACGTGTTAAATCATTAAAATTTAGTGGTTGGATATTTATTTGTATTTCAAGTTTTCTTCTAACATTATTATTTTATTATGAAATCCCAATGTTTTCAAAATATTTAGCATCGACGTATTTTTTTGAAGACAAATTTATACCACATGTATTTGATGCAACAACAAATGCATTAAATGTTATTGGACAATTTTTACTTATTGCTTGTTATTGGGAACAATACATTATATGGATATTTGTTAATATAATGTCAATTATTATGTATAGTGGTAAAGAGAAAAACAAAAAGAAAATATTATATGATTGACAAGAAAATCTTGATTATTAATAAATCACTTTTGAGATGAATCTTATCTTATTGAGACAAAACAAAACTTACAAAGATTTGTGTTAGTGAGTTTTTCAATAAAATATAATGCTTTCCTCTAGATCGCTTTCTAAAACCGATTTTAGAATTCAAAGACGACTATAAGGTTTTAACTGCGAAGTAAGATATATTTAGACTTCTAGAGAAATATTTCCTCTATCTGATAGTTCACATCTCGATAGATGGCGCTACCTTCATCACGCCTTGGATAGAAGGTAACGCCATCTATCAACATATCCGTAGCATTTGATAATACGTATGCTATTAAATAGAGGAAGTCTTTCTGTTAATCAAGAATCATTGAAAAACTTATAGTCATCTTTTGCATATACAAAAGTCTTCAATGGGACTAGTTGATTATGAAAGTATTATATCGTGTAGTATTGCTTATACTGAAATATCGATATTGAAAAGTGTGTCATGCAGACATATTTTTTTTTTGGATAGAAGATATTACAAAGTTAAATAATCATCATAAATAAGCGTGATTAAAAGTTTTTATTTGTGTAATGCTTCATTTCGAAAATAATCTGAACGACAGTTTGTAAAAAAAGCTCACTACAATAGGTATAACTCAAATAGAATAATCCTTGAACACAAATCTAATTAAGTTTTATCTAATGTCAATAGGTTTTAAATAACAAGATAAGGTTTATCTTAAAAGTGATTTATTACTTGATGAGATTTCTTCATTAGTTCTCTATTAGCATAAGGGAAGCAAAATCACGAAAGAGTCCAACAATAAGAATAAAAAGCTAAAATAATCGAGTAAACTTAATCCTCAACGTATGAATTAATTTTTATTATAGATTAATTAAACTTATGAATTACTTTTTCTGCAAATTCAAAAAAATAAGTTTTTTTTTTTTTTTGTTTTCCATTTCTTTAGGTCGTCTTGGAACACCTCTAGATATTAATTTATTACTTGTATGGATTATGTTAGCAATTAGTTCAGCATGTGGTTTATATAAATGGTATCATCGTTGGAAAGATTCCAAACATATATCATCAATGTCAAATATAAAAGTTTAGTTTACCTGTTAATTCTTGTAATTTTAAATTTTTGCATAACAGCTCGTTTTAAACCGATACGTTTAGTTAATGGACGTGGTTTGATTTTATCAGAATTTGTTTGATGATTTTTTGTTGGTGTTATTGTTGTTAATGGTATTTGTGATTGATTATGAGAATCTGTTGAATTATTTGTTAGATTTGGTGATGATGTTGGTGTTATTACACGAGAACGTATTGGCGATGAACTATTGAGTTTATTTCGAATTTCTTGTTCATATAAGGTTATATCATGACGTTTTTTACGAGCAGGTGATTTTTCTGGATTGCTAATTTCATGGAGACCTAAAAAATGTAATTTGTTTTTTTTCTTAAATATTTTCCTCTTAAAAATTTAATCAGGTTTTTTTTTATGATTATTACTAAAATTTCGTGAATTTGTAATTAGTATATTGTATTAAAAAATTATAAATATTAGCAAATAAAAAATGTTTTATCATAAATCATCAGAGCATATTTTTGTTTTTGCTAAGTTATTTTCCTTACCTAGAATATTATTCTTCACTGTTAATGATAAATGAGTTGTATTACAAAGAAATTCCAATGCACGTGCATTTGTAAGATGATCAAAAGATTGTCCATTTACACTAAGAATCTATAAATAAAAAAAATATTCTATGAAATATTGATAAAAATAAACTTGTAAATAAAGTCATTTTGGGATTAGAATATAGAATTCATATGTATTCTTTAGCTGAACTAATACAAAAAGTACATAAAGTGAAAAATTTCTTGTTTTCTGAATATAATCCAGTAGCCGGAATTTCATCAAAGGAATGATCTATCTTATTTATTTCTGTATTTCGAACAGAATATTGATTTAACTGGCCAATAAGCCTTTTGTAAATATTTCATATATCTACAGCAGATCTCAATGCATTATTATATATGTATATATCTCGATAAGCTCGTAAACAATGATATTGATTATTTTTTCCGAAAGTTATAATTTGATCAGTTTACGTTTTTTTTCTTATGTTGATCATATGACGAATCAATCCGTCATTTTTCATTAAACTTTTATCTGTGTAAACATTCGAAGTTTGATAGCTATGCCAGTATACACAGCGACCAATGTCCTATTTGATTGTAAGGACTTCGGAAGGAGGAGCAGTAAAAATCTCGATTGAAACTGACACTCACTATTTTCTTCGAAATTTATTTTTTGAATAACTTTTGAACGGATTGATCTAGAGAGCTGCTGTTTTCACCATTGGAAAGAGAAGATGAAGACGCATCGAATCATATATGAAAAGATTTTTTCGACTACTTTTTCTAGGAGTTTTAGGCAAACATTTCTAAAAAATTGCTTTTTTTTCATACGTTAAAAAAAACGATTTTTCATCAAGCACTACAAAAACTTCCATTTTTCGATTATTTTGTTGAAAAAATGGGATAATAAATTGCATTCCAATGGCTAGAATATCTTATTGACAGAGTCTTTACATAGTTTTGTAGCTCTTCATTTGGCAATTCTAACACACTCCTGAAAATCAATAAGTTAATATCGCAACCATGAGAGACATACTGTTTTTCTAGAAACTTTATATAAGATTCTTAGGAAAGTAGTCAGAAAAATCTTTTCATACATGATTCGATGCGTCTTCATCTCCTCTTTTCAATGGTGAAAATCGCAGCTCTCTAGATCAGTCCGTTCAAAAGTTATTCAAAAAATATCTACCGATCTTCTTTTTTAAAATAGGCATTAATTCTTTCGATACAGTTCTACGAAGACATAACAGTAACAACTTCTATTTTAATCTGCAACGTTCTATATACGTTAATACAAATTCTTTCAAAACAATTCATCTAGTGATTTACAAAATTTCGACGAATGGAATAGATTCTTAAATACATTTAACAGACAAACTCTAATTATTTCCAATAGAATTTTCAAAAATTTTTCTTTT